CACAGGGCGCCCATACCCAACTCCACACAGGGCGCCCATATCCAACTCCACACAGGGCGTCCATACCCAACTCCACACAGGGCGCCCATACCCAACTCCACACAGGGCACCCATATCCAACTGCACACAGGGCGCCCATACCCAACTCCACACAGGGCGCCCATACCCAACTCCACCTCTTAAATTTCAGCGGCGGAGCCAACCACAAACAAACAAAAAAAAATCAAATGAGAATGAGAGTCAAGAATAAAAGATACCCCGAATCGTTCACATTTAGAGGTTTATTTTGGGTAGTACTCTATTTACCTCCATCCCCTCGAGGCATCCCTTTGAAGTCGACCCCCGTTACACATAATAACGTCGCTATTAAAAACTTTACAAATGAATCAAGATCTTCTGGGAAGAAAAGAAGCCCTCCCCCCCCCCCCCCCGCCCCAATGAATCTCAGATACTAGGTTAAAGTATGGACCGAAAAAAAAAACCCAAAGGTATTCAATACTTGAACCTGCACCGTTGTATAAATCAATGCTAAAAATAATCTAAATTTGCTAGTCGGGGTAAAAATAGAATTATACTTAGGTAAAGAAAATTCACTCTTATAAACAAATTAAATTACCGTCCCCTTTTTTCCGATTCTCTCCCTTTTTTTCTCTCTTTTTTTCCCCTAAGGGTTGATTATCTCCTTGAGTTTTTATCATTTGCAGCATAGAATCCTTCACGCCTCGTCTCGCCGGGGCCCGCTGATAAAGTATATTGCCCGCAATGAGTCCGATCCGTCTGGAACAATCTTATCGCAGTTAACGAGTCGCCCTTACGGAATGGCGCTATCGAGACCCTCGGAATGGCGGCGAAATTCCAACCCACCATTCAAGGCATGTTTTCTATCTTGATTCCGCTTGGCCCGGAAAGACAAAAAAAAAGGGGAAGTAATTAATAACAAAAACATTTTTTTTTTAGTTTTTTTTTATTAACGCCCGAGGATGATGCGATATTGCTGCCCCTGATAACAAAATGTAAAGGATTCTACTCTCAAAAGCAAACATTCCTCTGTCAGTGGTCTCATCACATATTCTACTCACTGCCAGAGTACAATTTTCTTTCTTGTTTGTAAACTTTGGGCGAAGAATTTCTATTATGCCAACACAACTTACGCCTATTGAGACACATACTATTGTTTTTTTTTTTTCTTTCTTTTTTTTTAATGCTTATCGCCCGTGGGTCGCCACGAGTATCCGCCCCTCCCAGTCAGAAGTTACGTAACAATCCACCATGTAAGCTAGCATGCTATCAATTCAAGGATTAGCAGTTTTTATTGGGGGATAAGCATTTTAAAAAACATTAGGAGAACTTCTTTAGTTTTTATAAAACTAAAGAATTCAGCTTTTCTATTTAAAATGTGACTCGGGACTTGGACAATGTATGCCCAAAGTTAACCCTCAATGGTACCTAAATAATGTTTGGGGGAAGTGCAATGACACAGGGGGCTGGAGGGGGGGGGGGGGTGAGGTGGCCCATCCAGCCATAAATAAAATGAAATAAAAAAATTATTTTCGCCACTTTGGAATTTTTAATTTTTTTAAGGAAAAAATAAATAAAAATAAAAATAAAATGGCGCGTCTCTAAATTGACAAAAACTCAACGAAAACTGTATCGAACATTCGAATATTACTCTGTCATATTGTCGTATTACTCTCGTTTATATAGCCCAGTGGTGGGTAGTTTGTGGTGGGGGTGTGGGTGGGTGGGGGTGCCCAAATTAGGATCACTTAAACCCAAACAGGGGTCGGCGTGGTCGAGTCGGTAAAGCTCATGGTTGCTTAAAAAAAAGTCCCGAGTTCGAACCCCCGGGCAGATGAGGCTCGATAGCTGGGGACAGCAACCCATCTAGGAGACAAAACTTTAAAATCAAACAACAGCTGACTTGTAGTTTGTTCTTGGTTGGACAAAGGCTATGGAAGTGAATCCAAAAAGAAAAGCAGGCTCTGTATGGCGAATGTTTAATTGTGTTGAAGGAAATTACGTGGAACATTACAAATAAGAAAGGATAAGAGGACTTGAAGGATTTATTGTGGATAATGGCGCGATGCAACCAAAGGGTACCTCTCATTATACGGGTTTCTCGCATTAAACGGATACCTCTCATTATACGGGTTTCTCGCATTATACGGCTACCTCTCATCAGGGGCGGAACTACAGTGCCGCCAGACCCCGCAATGCGAGGGGGGGGGGGGGGGGGGGGGGGCAGGCCATTTAGGGGCCCATAGTCGACCATAATATTTTTTTTTATAATTAAAAAAATAATAATTTTCTTGCATTTATGACTTGATGGTTGTTTTGTAAAAAGATTACCGTAGCTGCGGTTGGATTATCTTTATTCTATAGACACCACCCCACGCTCTTGTATATTCTTTTTCCCTTTGTTTTTAAACCACTCTGAAAGCGGGGGTCCTCTTTCTCCTAGAAAACTTATGAAATATAAGCAAACGTTCAAACCACTACCATGACTTATTTCCCCTTTTTAAATAGTCAAATAGGTGTGCTCCTAAGCTCCTTTTAATAGATTACTTCTCTTAATTATTTTGTATAAAGTACTTACTAAAGAATGACATTGTACAATAAACCGGGAGTGATCTCCCCTAAACTTTCTCTAATATTCTTATATAAAACAACAGGTGATGGGAACTCGGGCTATAGACATGATTTTTAATTCATTTTAAAGACTTAAAGTTTTAAAAATAGAATAAAATCTCGTAGACAAAATAATTGCACACCAATTGAACGCCAAATAAAAAAGTGCATAATAGTGCGCAATATTATTAGTACTTTAAAAATTTTCATTAGGTTTTTGAGAAATCGGAAGTAGCGTAAATTACTACTTCCGTTCAACGGAAATTACTCAAAATTTGATAGAAGGTAGAGAATTAGATCTTTTACTTACGTGTGAAATTTCATTTATCGTTCTGAAATAGTACTCAAGTTATAGGCTTTTGAAAAATTCAAAGTAGAAAAAGTACCACTTCCGGTTATCGGAAATCGCTCAAAAGTTGATACGGATCTACGATTTTGATAAAATACTTATATATGAAATTTCATCAACCTAGCTCTAACGGTACTCAAGTTATCGTGTTTACACACGGACACACACACACACAGACACACAGACATACGGACAGAATTGCAAAGCCCAGTTTTTCAGAATGGATTACGCATAAAACCTCTTAATTTTGATAAATCTGGATTGATAATTTTTGCCCGATTAAAATAAGTCCTCTGTACTTCGGATGTGATGAAGGACTGAGGTGTAATACGGTGAAAATTGTTAAAATTTCAAGTGATTTTTGTGCACGATTACAATACTTTCTCTATACTTCGTATATACGAGAAAGTAAAAAGGAAATGTATTTAAATTTATTAATATAAATACAAAAAAACATCAGAATAAACATAACACGAGACACCATTACTTATACAAAGCTTTCATGTTTTATATTCTTTTGACCGACTAGATGTTAAGAGGGAGGGCTTATAGCGAAGATAAAATATAACTGATTTTCACAAAAAAAAACACACTAATGCACTTACACAGTATATATATATATATATATATATATATATATATATATATATATATATATATATATATATATATATATATATATATATATATATATATATATATATATATATATATATATATAAATATATATATATATATATATATATATATATATATATATATATATATATATATATAGGGCCTAAAAAAAAAATTTGCGGGGTGGCCTTTTTTTTCTAGTTCCGCCACTGCCTCTCGTTATACGGGGTTCTCGCATTAAACGGATACCTCTCATTATACGGGTTTCTCGCATTATACTGATACCTCTATTTATACGGATACCTCTCAACATACGGGTCCCTCTCATTATACGGGTACCTCTCAACATACGGGTCCCTCTCATTATACGGGTACCTCTCGTCATACGGGTACCTCTAGTTATACGGGTACCTCTTGTCGTACGGGTACCTCTCGTTATACGGGTACCTCTGGTCGTACGGGTACCTCTCGTCATACAGGTACCTCTGGTCATACGGGTACCTCTGGTCATACGGGTACCTCTGGTCGTACGGATTCCTCTCGTCATACGGGTACCTCTGGTCGTACGGGTACCTCTCGTTATACGGGTACCTCTAGTCGTACAGATTCCTCTCGTCATACGGGTACCTCTAGTTATACGGGTACCTCTTGTCGTACGGGTACCTCTCGTTATACGGGTACCTCTGGTCGTACGGGTACCTCTCGTCATACGGGTACCTCTGGTAATACGGGTACCTCTTGTCATACAGGTACCTCTGGTCATACGGGTACCTCTGGTCATACGGGTACCTCTGGTCATACGGGTACCTCTGGTCGTACGGGTACCTCTGGTCATACGGGTACCTCTGGTCGTACGGGTACCTCTCGTCATACGGGTACCTCTGGTCGTACGGGTACCTCTCGTCATACGGGTACCTCTGGTCGTACGGGTACCTCTGGTCGTACGGATTCCTCTCGTCATACGGGTACCTCTGGTCGTACGGGTACCTCTCGTTATACGGGTACCTCTAGTCGTACAGATTCCTCTCGTCATACGGGTACCTCTGGTCGTACGGGTACCTCTCGCCGTACGGGTACCTCTGGTCGCACGGGTACCTCTCGTCGTACGGGTACCTCTGTTCGCACTGGTACCTCTGGTCGTACGGGTACCTCACGTCATACGGGTTCCTCTCGTCATACGGGTACCTCTGGTCGTACAGATTCCTCTCGTCATACGGGTACCCCTGGTCGTACGGGTACCTCTCGCCGTACGCTACGTCAGCGCCAGGTATCGCCCAGGTAAAAAGCGTGGAGGCAGCCCCACGAAGTAGGTTACGCTGAGAAAATTCTTCAGTTACTACTGGCATCAGTTGTCACGAGCAGAGCAGGTAAGTGTTCGTCTGCGACCATGCACGTGTCTTGCTGTTGTATCAAGCTGTGGGTGCTCTCTGTTCAATCTCTACTATCTGTTGCCCCGTTGTGTGAGTGCGTGATATTCTGGTGATACATATTCAATAACTGAAGTATTCACATAGCTCAAGTATACAGCTCACTGTTTGATTAGTAAGTCGTTAATTTTTCGTTTTCCTTTACACTTATGATTTGTTTTAAATTGAATAACAAGCCAAGTTAATTTTTTTAATATTTTAAGATTTTACAAATAAGTTTCCTAAGATAAAACCAACCCACTTTGCTTTTGGCTAGCCATCGTCCCCGGGTGTAGTAAAATTATCGGTCAAATAAATTGTAAATCAATAATTGTTATAGGTGACATGTGATGTTATAGTGTTTATTTATCTAAGTTGATATACAACAATGTTAACAGGTAAATATTCATTTGACGTCTGCTGAAGTCACTACATAGCAGTGTCGTCTGTTGAAATTATCACTCAAATGTGTCGTTTTATTTTTAATTAATTTAATTATCCATGTGTCGCTGGCTTAAATCCCCTCCTCCCCATATTAAACCAGCTAAAATTTTGTGATAAAAATGCTGAAAAATTAATATTGTGTCCCTATTAAAATTGGCTAAAAAAATTAAAATAGTGTCGGCATATTAATTCCGTGTTGTATGCTTTAATCTCCCCTTCCCAGGTCGCCGCCTAGGATCATTAAAAGTGTCTTCTGGTCAAATTATCTTAGAGTCGTCTGCACTTCTCACCTGAGCCGTGTCGCTTATCAACTTGTATCTTCACGAGCTAGATCTAGATCTATGTCATATATTGGCGCCCGCAGAATAATCCGCAATGGAGGTCGCTCTACAATCCGTAAATTGAGACTTAGATGAGTTTAATAATTTGAACGGCAGGTCTTTCTTAACAAAATTAATTAATTGTTATTTTTAAGCGTTGATTGTGTAGTTTTCTCTATACTAATTAGCTGATATGGGACGGCGTGGCCTAGCGATAGAGCACTAGACTACTAACCCGAAAGTCTCAGGTTTGAATCCGAGTTCAAGAAATACATGAATTCCACTTTATCTGCCTATGCTAGGTCTAAAGAGGATTCTTTACTTTTGTTAAGTAGGTGATAACGATATCTAGAGGAATACAGAGGGGGTCTATAGCCTATAGTGCTAGCACACGTGCCAATGTCGTCTATACAAATATCCCTATGGTAGCTTTAGCCTTCTAAAAATATCTCAATTGTTGTGCTATTGACATTAGCCCTGACCGTCAGCCCAAACCAAACGTTAACCCTGATCATAACGCTAACCCCTGATCTCAACCCTAACACAGTTCATATCTCTGATCTTAAACCTAATCTTTATCTTGTTACGAAACCTGGTATTAATGCTAATTATAATCTTTATATGAAACATGATCTTAACTCTGATCTTAATCCTGACCCCAATTTTAATCCTAACCCTAATCTAAATCCTAAACCTGATTTTAACCCCAATGTTAACCCTAACTCCGATATAAATCCCAACCCCAATCTTAACCTTAAACACGATCTTAACCCTAACCCTTATTTTAACCCTAACCCTAATCCTGCCAAGTACGCAGTTGCTGGTGAGCTCAATGAACACCAAAAGCACGTGCTGATGGCACTCACCCGCTGTCCTTTGAGCTGACCTACTTCACGATCTGCCTGCTCAGATGTTGCGCGCGAAAACCGAGAACTAGCAGATCGCAGTAACTCCGTCAGCAGAAAAAAAAACAACAACACAAAAACAAAAAACCTGGAGATAGGAATGTATAGCTTTATGAAGATAGCAGTGAGGAGTTAAAAGATGTGTGTTTACTTAGCTGAAATAATGATAGCTTTCCAATTGGAGGGCCGAGAGATTGTGCTGTGTTTATTTACGAGGTGAACTCCTGGGTGAGAAATGTGTTTGTGTCACTGCGAGTGTGTAACGTGTTTTATGGGTCGTTCACATAGGACATACATTGTCGAGGGGAGGGGCGAACTTTCGTGACGATGTGTGACGAGGTCTAGTCGGGGTTAAACAAAACGCGATGTCACGTTACGATGTCTCGTTACGATGTTTTGTTACGATAGTCACGTTACGATTGCACGTTACAATGTCACGTTATGATGTCACGTTACGATGTCACGTTATGATGTCACGTAATGATGTCACGATATGATGTCACGTTACGATGTCATGTTACGATGTGACGGTATGCCAGTGTAACATAAAGCAATAGAGTAGGTAAAAGCGAAGTTCCCTTTTCGAACCTGACGGTCCCTTGGGCAAGTGAAGTAGAGTTCACCTGTTTCTGTTACCTCGGCATATAAAGGAATAGTGTGGTCAGCACTATGCCCAGCCGCCTTTACTTTCCTAATGTGAGTAAGGTACCCATTAGAGCTGGGTGGACTCAGGGACGGTCTACTGACCTGAACCCGAGACTTTCGGATTAGCATTCGAGCGCTCCAAGGCTAGACCACGCCGTCCCATAAAGCAACATAGAGTGTGGATTAAATTTATGACCCGTTTTAGTGGGGGGGGGGGGGGGGGGGAAGGGGCAATTACATGGATCGTCGGTTTAGATTTGGGTCTGCTTTTTTTTGTTCGATTTTATGTTACGTTCAATGGGCGTCTATTTCAGTGTATACTTTGTTAGGTAAAGGCGGGCGATTATTGTTGCGATATTTTTGACCTCAAATCAGTGAAGCAGGTGAAGTAGATTTCATATATTTCTTTGATCTCGGTACATTAAGTCAGGTACTCATCAGAGCTGGGGTGTACTCAGAGACGTGCTATGGACTTGAATCCGGAACAGAACTAATAACTTTCAGCGTAACCGTCATGCTTTCTATCGCTAGACCATATCGTTCACAGCAGATATCTGGAAAATTATATTAGTAGGTTTAGAGCCCATCCTTCACGGTAAATACTATAGCATACGGACCTTAGATCTCATGCGTTCTAAATCTCAAAAGACAAAACTAGTACAGCATAAACCCTCTTTTCATATGGCGAGGCCAATGAAACAGGTGAACTCTACTTTGTCTGCAATATGGACCATTTGAGTGATCCTTTAATTTGTATTCATCCTTAGCCCTTAAAAAGATCCGCTCAACATTTCGTCGGTGCATATTTTTATAAATATATTTGTAGCAACACCAAAACACTTTAAACATCGGCAGTGTCAGTCATAATTTCAGTGATAAGGGTGATTTGTATTACTCTCCTTCTTACAAATTAAAAAAAATCTTTTTTTCCTTCGTCAATTCACAAAAACTATAAACAAGACCATCAAAGCATGACAATTTAGATTGGTAAACACGTCGATTAGCTCTGCCTGATTAGGTTTTACACAGTTTTTAATCGTGTACACAAATTGACTGTCTCTGAAGTGATGAACTACTTCATGACGCGGCCATGGTGTGTGTACCGTATGATAAACCCACGCTATTGGCAGAGCATTCAGATGATGAAAACGTTTATTTCTTTTTGTTGCATATCATCAGTGTTCATTGACTTAACATGTGATGTGTTTTTCACAGGTAATTTTCATCTAAACTATGACAACACGTACTGAGCTTATAAACAATCAATGTACTCACATTTTAATCAGTGTTTCTTCCTGACTTTTTTCTCCGGGGGTGTACTTGATATTTTCGGGGTGGGGGGGGGGGGACAACATTCTACGGGGGGGGGGGGGGGCGGACACTGGTAAAAGAATATGTTTTCTAAATAAATTCCATTTCGTTCGGGTGAGGGGGGGGGGGCGGTAGACTTTCTTCGCGCCCCCCCTCCCCCGAAGAGATGCCTGGAAGAAATTCTGATTTTAATACAATCAGTATGATCGATAAGAGAAGCGATATTTTTTAAAACGAAGTCGCCGGTCGAATCTATGCTAGTTTCGTTCTCTTAACACTGGTTCCAACCTAACCGTAACCCTTACATGACCCATCACCTTGATTTACATCTGACCTATTCATAACTGCAGCCCTGAGCCCAACCCCAACCATGCCCCTAACGGCATTCTAACAGAACAAAATTCGACCTAATACCCTTTTGTATTACCTTTATTTTATACACAAAAACAAAAAACAAAAACAAAACAACAACAAAGCCAGCAGACCTTCTTTTCAACCAATCAAAACCGCCCTGTCATCCACGGCATGGCCTCCCAGCAGACGACACATCTCGTGTGCCCTATATACCACGTGAGCCCCTGACATATCGTGAGCACAAACCGCTTGGCTCGGCCGTCTCAGGCCGGCGACTCCTGCCAAGAGATGCTATTCCAGTGCTGCGAACGCCCTGGGGATCCCAGCCTCTCTCAAGTGTCAGCGCCCGCCCCTCCCGGCGTTTGTAGCTCCCCCTTTTGGCAGCCGGCATGCCGGGTAATGACGGGCAAGAACATTTTCATTGCGAAAGAATACTGTGGAATTTTTATTTATTTTTGGCGTTAAGATAAACAATTTATCTGGCATGCTAATACGCGGGTTGGGGGCTACCACCAACACAATTGGTTACAATATTGAATTAGAAAATGGTCATATCAAGGCAACGGTCATGCGCCTGTGAATGGCATTGGGCCAATGCTTACCTTCACACAGTACTCACTTTTAAGATATTTCTGGACATGTGAAGGGTATAATAGATTGACGACAGAAGCCTGTGGTTGTATATAACACGTTTATTGGGTCTAACTACATCACGATGGTAATACACAGAGAGGACTGAAGGAAGTACCCAAGGGACATCACTCAAGATAACAATATTATAAATATAACTAATACAGAAGAGTGAGTTCCCTTGACCTCACAATTATTTCAATCTATTACATCCCTTTACCCTTAGAACACAATAACACATCTCTCAATAGAACAATTGATAGTATCCTAAAATCACCAATTATATTGTAACATGAACACTATGGTAGATTACATCCTTACAAACAATGCACAATATGCTACAACATAATCAAAATACAAAACAATAATGTCAAAGTCCTTTTGACCTTTAGAATCATAGGTCTAACTTATTTGGGACCTTGATTGTCCTGCTTGACCTTCTCAGTGGCTTTTGATTTGGTGACTCAATATTCTGACCATCTGGATTCTCTATCTCAGGAGGTCTAGGATTTAAATCATTAACTCCA